AGCCTCTTGAGATTAACTGGCAACGGCCAAGTATTATCACCATTGGTTGCAATCTCTGTTCCTAGCTGGAATCTATCAGCTTCAAGTTTCTGATATTCAGCATCAAAAACATCCCGCAATTCTCGGATTGTTCTCAAATCTTCAACATGCTCTGGTAACATGTAAGTTGGGTTCCAATTCTCCTCATCGATCTCGTATTTGAAAACTCGATCAAATTCTGATTTCTTCATCTTCAATGAATCCAGCTTCTGCGATTCTATCCATACAGCATCCATACCATCTTCTCCATAGAGAAACTGAATCACATCACCCAATGAGTTTCTAACTGTTCCATCATACTTGACCATAATATCTTCCATGGCCTTCACTAAACGCCTCTGGATATATCCAGTTTCAGAAGTCTTAACTGCTGTATCTATAAGACCTTCTCTACCACCCATGGCGTGGAAAAAGAACTCCTGTGGGGTCAAACCACGCAGGTATGAGTTTTCCACAAACCCACGACTCTCAGGACCATAATCATCTTTTGTGAAATGTGGCAATGTCCGATCTATAAACCCAAATGGGATTCGCTTTCCCTCAACATTCTGCTGGCCCACACAAGCTGTCATCTGAGATATGTTGATGAAACTTCCCTTGGACCCCGCAGTAACCATAGCTTTAAGATTGTTACTTTCTGCTAAACTCTTCTGAGCACTACTTCCAGCATCATCACGAGCTCTATTCAAAACCTAAAAGATAAAAAGGGAGGTTAATAGACATTAAAAAATGTTACAAAAGAAAAGGAGAGAATGTGAAGAAACTACATGCAAGTACCTGATTCACTTTATTCTCAAACGAATCCATCATGGTTCGTCCAGGTTCAGCCTCTAACTTCTTTTCTTGTGCTTTCCTGATGAGCTCTTTCACATCATTCTTTGCTTTAGAAATAGTTTCATTGATCTTTTCCATTGTAGATGAATCTGCAATTGTATCACCAATTCCAATACTAAAAGCATTCTGCAAAAGCCAGTAATTGACAAGCCACTGTGTATGACCCAAGAATTTGCGGGCAGCATCAGGACCAACCTCTTCCCTGCACCAAAATAACAATTTTTCTTTCAATCAGATTCATTTTACATGTAACAATAATATGCATGAAGTCTCAAACTGCATGCAATGTTGCCTCAAGAACACCATGTACACTCTAGAAATCCCTGATATCTGATTTTTGAACTCAAAACCAACCAACACCCAGTTGAAAAAGAACGACAAATAGATATCGAACATTTTGGTATAAAGAACATTTTGGAAAAGTCCCACACTAGGTTTACATCTATCACACCAAATCATAATACATAGGAGTAGAAATAGATTCTAAAAAGACAATAAAGATACAGCCAAAAGTTATCCTCCAACCCTATAAGTATATTAAACATTAAGAAAAGCTCAGGCTTAATCTTCCAAGTCTTTAATCCCAAAAAACTTACCAAATGACATGTATGAGACTCCCAGTTGATGTCCCAAGAGTCTTCTTGCAAAGCGTTCCAGATAGTAGCTCTCCTTTCTCAATTCGAACTTGAGTATCCCCTGGAGTTATGAATCCTGTCTCCTGATCCGAGTGCCAAGCGGAATATCTTATTAGATTTATCTGCTTCGGTATGATAAGATTGAAAACCTGCTTCCCTGTCCAAAGAGGACGCGGCTTCAAAATTGCAGGAGCAGGAATTTTTCCATCAAAATCTTCCCACCACATCAAGATGTTCATAAAAACATCCTGCAACAATAGAATATTTGGTTAAAAGTGCGGTTTCTTCTCATTAGAAACAAATGGAAGCGGCTTATTGAAAATGAAATATAATTTCACAATCACCTTCTCAATAAAGGTGTCCCTCTTGGTGATTTTACGGCATCCTAGAAGGGTATCTTGGACAATTCCCATGACAGGTCGATTCGATTGGGGTGAGACAATACATTTCGGCACCATCATTAACTCCAAAACTTCTGCTCTGGTCCCAAATGATTGTGGAACATGCATATTCATTTCATCACCATCAAAGTCAGCATTGTATGGGGACGTAACTGATAAATTCAAGCGGAAAGTGGAATAAGGCATAATCTTGATCTTATGCCCCATGATAGACATTTTATGTAGACTTGGTTGACGGTTGAAAAGAACAAAATCACCATCATTCAAGTGTCGCTCCACCTACAATCATGAATATTAAAAATAAGCAACCACCCAGCTACACAAGCAGGTTAAGAAGGATCCAGATTAAATACAACAAGGATGATAAAAATGCCTTGTAACCAAGCTCCAGATGATGATCGCTACTCTTCTTCAAATAGCGAAGATCGAGCCTTTGTCCATCATCTCTTATGATATATTTGGCACCAGTCTTTCCAGGTGGAGGATGCGGACCGTATTCCACAAGCTCCTTCAACCTGTATAAATTTAGGGGGGTTCACCAACAGAAGAACATAAAATTATGTTTTTCTTTTTCAAGTAAAATGACAAAAGGTGCAGACCTTTCAATGTTGTATGGTGTCACAGTCTCAGGATATGTGAGATTCAACGCAATACTCCATGGAACTCCAAGTTCATCAATATTGATGGTTGGATCTGGGGTAATAACTGTCCGTGCTGAAAAATCCACACGTTTTCCCATCAAGTTACCTCTTATCCTACCTTCCTTTGCCTTAAGCCTGCTACATATTGATTTAATAGGTCTCCCAGATCTCTGAGTAGCCTGAACAAGAAGAAATATTTAGGCATTCCAGAACAAATTCTTGCAAATCCACATAACAGAAAGTAAGCAGAATTACCCTTGGCTGCCCAGGCAACTCATTGTCAAAATATGTGGCAATGTGGAACTGCAACAACTGTGCAAACTCTGATATGATATGTGCAGGCGCCCCATTTCTTTCTTGTCTCCTCAAATTCTCATTATGTCGAATTATCATGGCTAATTGATGAGTTAAGTCATCCTAAGATCCCACAAACACAACTGTAACTATCATGCACTTAGGAAAAACCTCTAATACTAATAATTCAAGCAAAAACTACTAATCAGTTATTAGTAAAAGGGTTTTGCACAAAAGAAAACACAACAGGTATAAACGCTTACCTCACTCCTAGAGGATGTGTCCATCATCACAGAGGGTCTCACGGGAGGTGGAGGGATAGGAAGGACTTGTAGAATCATCCAGTCTGGACGAGCATACTGAGGGTTAAAGCCTAATAATTGGCAATCCTCGTCACTTATCCTCTTCAGAACACTGAGAACCTGTGCTAGGCTCAACAAGGAATTCGCATCATCCATCAAGTCAAGGAAGGATACCCAGGAATTATTAACAAGCAATGAATTACCCTTTCTGCAGTAAGTGTTTGCTTCCTTTCTACAGGTTCAGGGAGTTGTTCCTGATCATCATTCTTCTTCCTTTGAGCCTTATACTCAGCAATCATCTTCATACCCTCAATAGTTAGCTTTGGCTGCTGAGCGCCACAGCCACCACGACTTTTCTTAACTGGCTCTTCTGCATCTTGACCTTGAACATCGATTTCATCACCGCCTTCACATTTGGTTTTGTTTTTGCAGGCATCCAAAATCTTTTTAAGCCTATTTTTTGGATTTTTTATTTTCAAAGCCTGCTTAAATTTGTGATCCTCCTGCATGCACAACAATCAAATGATACATGTCCTCAAAGTTAAGATTGCAGTCAAAGATTTTTTGTTTTCCTGTGGGAATACAAGTTCTAGATGAGAATAAAATGATAAATAAAATTCTTTCAAAAACTACAACAAAGCTAGCATATGCTCTGCAATACCTCGTCCGCTAGAATTTTAGAGCAATTGAAGCAAACACATCTCATGATGCTGAGTACAGTTTTCATAAACCCAATATGGAACATAGGCTTGGCGAGCTCTAGGTGACCGAAGTGTCCAGGACACTCCGCCATATTGGCAGTACACGTCTCGCACTTCAACTTCCTGTCAATAGTCCCCAAACGAGGATCGCTCAACCCGGCTGGTTTTGGCTTTCCCCTCTCGGTAGTCTCGCTGTGCTCAATTTGCACAACAGACATTTGTCTCTGCACACCAAATAAGAAGAAATTGAAACCGCCAATCCAACAGAAACAATATCAAACAATCCTACTGGTGCATTCTGTTACTGAGAAAAGATGGGACTTGAAAACATAAGAGAACAGAATATCCACAAATACATAGCTCGTCTAATTGAATACACCGGTTTCATTCCTTCTGCTCTCCGTTTTCTCTTCGAACAACCAAGAGACTGGAGATAACATACAGAAAAACTGAGAGAAAGAGAGCGGTAAGAGATAATTACAATCTCATCAGGGCTGAGGATGCCGAACTGGACCACGCGGACCTTAGCGACCTCTGCTGGAGAGAACGGGAAGCGGGTGTCCATGTCGATCGGAGTGCGAACAAAACACTGATTCTAGGGTTTCGCTGAAGTAGAACAGTAAGGTACTTTCAAACTGGTATTGTTTTTTTTTTTTTTTAACTAATTTGTGTCCGTTCACAGTATTACGTTTTTGAATTTTCCAGTCAGTATCCGTCTTCGGCTTCCAGACGAGAGAGATCTAATATTCCCCCTCCCCCTTCCACTCGGGATCTCTCCGCAGAGGTTTCAACAAAGAAAACCAAGATCTACACCCCACGGGGGGTATTTATAGAGGAAAAAGGTCAGCCAGCCCTAAACCATTCAACCGACTTTTCGTTGAGCGCTATCGTGCGCTCAGTGCGATATGCGCTTACGCTAATGGGCCTTTTACCTATTAAGACTTAACTTCATGGCCGCAACCCACTAGTCGGCGGGGGCCCATAATTTCTGTTCCGGAAAGAAAATAAATAAACCGTTGCGTTTCATTCTTTCCAACAGAAATCTCAAATTTTCTAATTTTAAGAACCGAAAGTATATAATCTAAATTATTTAAAGATTTAAAAAATATATTTAGAAATAAAATATAAAAAATGTTCAACGATACACCCAAATATGCAGCCGAATATTTAGAATGTGTGTAAATAATATTGCATATTTAGGGAGCTCATAAATGCCCATAACACTTTGAAGAGTTTTTCTGGGTGTCTAGAACAGTCAAAATGTTATGAGAGCTTTATGAATGTAAGAAAAAGACATACACCTTCCTTATTCTAAAGGATTAATTATAAGTATTCAATTAACATGCCTAATCCAAAACTTTGACAAACAACCCCTCAAGGACTCAAATTCTTTTTTGTGTGTTGAATATTTGAATTTGGTCTGACGATGGATTTTAAGGTACCGCTTAATTTCCAGGAAACTTCCTAAAACCAAGAATTTGCAACGCGTTTTTTGAAAATTTGTCCGTTTCCATATCATCACCCACCGATCGACTGCCCCCGCGATCTGAATCAACTTCATCAACGATGGCTTCATCGATCTACTGCTGCAAAGAGTGCGGCGTTAATCTTAACCTCAACGCAGCGCACTTATACCCGGTTAGCTTCTACTTCGAGGCGGGCAATAAGGGCACTCTCTCCTTCTCTTCCGTGGACGCCACCAAGTTCAGGTTCGAGAAGGAGGACAAGATCAGGCCATTTTTTGAGACCCTTAATTACTGGGGAATCCAGAGGAAGAGGACCAAGATCAAGTGCAACGGATGCGGCAGACTCCTGGGCTATGTTTACGACGATGGTCCTCCTCTTACTGACAGTCCCGGTCAGTTCCATTTTGGACCGAGCCAGGTCATCCCTCGGGCCCCTCGCTACCGCTTCAAGACCAAGGCTCTTCGGATCTCCTCCTATACTTGAACATTTTGTGTTCATCATGGGTTCTTCATCTTATTGTATCTTGTGTATTATACTGTCGTCTTGGTGTTTTATAGTTATATTTGTGGGAATAATTTGGATTTGCTAGAGCATATTTACGTGAAGAATTATAGTCGAATTGCATTTTTTTTCTCAAAATTCCTCTTGGATTTAGTCTCTGTTTCATGTATTGATCTACACAACCTTGATAACTACAGTTCCGATTGCCACCTATTTGACAATAAGTCCCTAATAAACCATCCGATATAAGCACCGGCTCAAGAAGACGATCTGATACTGTTAACAGCAAGCCCATTATTAAACAGTCAGGGAAAACTTCCTTTTAGCAAAATCCATTATTTATATCGCCAAATCCTCTCTGGTTGAGCTCTATGTCTTATTGAACGGTTAAGCATTTGAGTGTGAACTGCTAGATTGGAATCTCTGGATGATTCATTTATTTATGCGTCCCTACCGGCCACTCTAGATGCTTTTGTGGGCTCTGCATTTTTCTATATACGTTCGCTTGTCATGGAAATTCATTTTTGTATTTAATGTGGTATCTACCGGTCATTCTTTTTTCTTTTCTCTTTGCTGCCTACTGTTTGTCATACGTAAGAACTTCCATTGGATGCTGATGTATATGTCAAGTTGACTTTGGTAAATAGAAAATAGATGTGAGTAGATAAAGTAGCTCTGTATTATAATAATATTAAATTCCATGAGAATAAATCCTAACCGTTAATCAACAAACCAGTTAGAAGAAGATGAGCTTTCATAGTTTGACCCCGGTAAATCATAGGAAAAATCAATCTTTAAAAGGAGTGACCCAGTTAACCAACTGGTTAGTCATTCACATTTGGAAGGTTGGTTTGATTAGTAGCTTCATCCTGTTGGTTGTGCTCTTTCAGCCTGTGTTTTATATCTTATAGTCTGCTAGCACCCACCAAAATTAGCCAACTGATCAGTCCAAGTGAAAGACTATCTGAAGATGAAGCAATTAAAGATGGAAACTGAAAGTGTTGGTTCAAAATCTAAACAGATGAATATTTCTAGAGTTCCACCACCACCTCCTCTTCCATGTTTCTGGATTGGGAAGTCAGCTTCAGAGAGCATAACCAAGAAGGAGATTGCCAAGTTTTGGTGGCACAAGCGCGTCAAAGAAGAGGAACACCTCCTTGCTGCTATCAAGGCTGCAGCTCGTATCAGGGCCAAAAATCTCTCTGTAAGTCCTTACTTTACTCTTACAATTTGATTAACTACAGTAGGTCTATGATTGCAAGAGCAATTCATATGTACAATAGTATTGTAATGTAAGAATCAACCCAATCAAGCCATTAAAAATTCATAGCCTGCTACCACAGGGAATTAATAAGTGAAGAAAGATTTGAGCACCTAACTTACAGGTGATCAGCCACCAAGAATTAAGTCAATTACCAGTCAACTGCATAGCTTCAACTTGGAGATTAGGTTTGGTATTGTTACTGACATGGAGGTCTTAGCCATTTCATACATCATCCTCACTGTAGAAATCTGTCTGTATATTGGATTGAAAACTATGCCTTTATAACTGTGGGTTTAATTGTTAAGAGTAGATTAGATAATTAAAGTTGCAGCTATGGTTGACTTTAGCAGATGCCCTCCAAGAGAAGGTTTCTTGTAGAGTGGCTTGGTTAAAAAAGATTTAACTTACTTTCCTAATTGCAATAAACATAAAGATATCAGAAGCGGCATTTCAACTGGATTTTATATATTATGCTTATTGAGACTAATACGAGAATTAAAGTTCGGAATAGAACTGAAAATGAACTCAAAGCAGCTGTAGAATGTTTATCTTTCTCTTGTAAGGTATCGATGTATATGGAAACTAACTTGTTCTCTCGTTCTCAGAACATGGAAACTCTGTGATGAAATGTGCTGGAAATAATATAAGAAAAGTCGGTCAGGATATTTAGTATGTTATCCCTATTACAACTTTATGAATTGTTTTATTGAATCTCTTGCTTTTTTCTTTTCCTTTTTTGAAATAATTGCATTGGGTGGCTAATCATTATTGAAGATAAAGCATAGAATAACTGAGTTGGAAGAGCACTTACTCTAAAAAAGTTAAAATTGATAAAGGACTCAATTTAATGAGTATAATTCAAACTTGAAACTGACCTTTCTCTAGGAGGCATTTACATGGCTAAGAAAGGGGAACCCTTGATCAACTACTCAAATAACGCATAGTCTTTGGGTTTCTCCCTATGAAATTGTGGCTTTGCAGGAGGAAGACTACAGCCTATTTGAAGAATCCTTGAATGAAGGAGAGGATGACACAAAGGAGAAAGAGTTTGTATCTGTCGAAAACAAGAAGAACAATGATGTTCGTGTTGGGATAAGAGACTGGTTAGTTGCTGGATTTTTCTCTTTATATACTTATTTTTTAAAGAACGATGGCAATAAGTATGCGCATTTGTCCTCTGGGCACAAAGAAAAAAGTATATCTATCGACTGATATAGCTCGCTCACGATAAATTATGTTTAGTTGCGGATATAAACTTACATGATTTTTTTTTTAAATTAAAATAAATAAAATTTATAGAGTGATATATAATCATACAAGTATATAATTTTGGATTTTGACAACTGAATTGTTGAGATTATGTGCTTGTTGTTATCCTATAAAAAAAAAAAAGATTTTGGGCAATTTTGACATGAACAGGTGGACAAAGAGCAAGTATGCTTACTTAAACCAGCCAGCCATTGGTTCTTCCATGGATAATCCCAAGGCCAAAAGACGAGCCTCTTCGTACACTCCCAATTGTTTCTGTTACGAGCCAATTCCTCTGTATCCCACATCGCTTGGTGTCTTTTAGCCAGCTGCAGATGCTTTATATGATTTGATTGTAATTATGTTGCCTTGCATTATCTTCGCTACGTTGGTTGAATGTCGGGAGTTTTCTTGTGTGAAAACCTTTCACTCGGTAAATCATATTTCACTCTTTTCTTTCAATAACCTAGTCTTTTAATATTGAATTTAATATTAAAAAACTAGATTATGAGAAAATAATCAAATTAAAACCTTGATTACATACTAAATTAATATTTTTGTAGCTATATGGAGTTATGAGATGTTATAATTTTTTATAAATAATAGATTTTAAGTTTAGTCAACTAAGAATCAAATAAATAATATTTTTAATAATCTTGCTGGTTTAGTTGATGTATCTCATTTTAAAATAATTAGAACTAATTAATCATGCCAATTAATGTTCTCATATTTTAACGCTACTACTGCGTTACATGAAGAACAGATCCGACAAAAGGAGTTCTAAGTTAATGCAATTAATAAATTCACTAATTTTGATTAAAAAAAAAATTTAAAGAGAGTTTGGTGAAGAAAAATACTTCATTAGATCTAATTACCAGATTAGCAAAGCATTTACCCAATGTAATTATGTAATTAATAATTTTCTAATTTACATTTTATTTTTCCGTTTCTGTTAAAAATTAAATAATTAATGATAATCAGTTTTTTAAAAAAAATATTAAAAACTGTAAATTTGTTAAAAAATACTCGATACCAATATCTAAAATTCTGATATTATATAAAATAATAAATTGTAACTAATATTTATTACTAAATAATCTAATTTTTTATTTATATTGTTCTTAATTTTAAATAAAATAAAATGGTAATGACTAAAATCCAGAGGCTACGTAATTTTTAATTAAAATTAAACAATACAAAAAAATAATAATAACCAAAGGTAGAAATTTTAAGAATTAAAATTAAAAATATTATATAAGTGTAAAGAGTGTGGAGTGGAATTACCAAAAAGGATAACAAAACGCAGACGGGAGTGGAAACTTGGAGGGCTGGAAATAGTAATTTTCCCTCTCCTTCTAATGTCATTAGTCAAGCTCCTTAAGGCTACCTGGCTGGCGACTAGCGACCGTATCTATTTGGCCCTAGAGACAAAAAAAAAAAAAAAAACAGAGAAAAAAGAAAATCAAAACGGGCGCGTACTTGCAAAACAGTTTCTTCTCTGCCAAAATTCTTGACAATTTTCCAGATCTCGTCTGGTGCCAAGCTTTGAAGATCGATCTTTAGGGTTTCCTTCGATTCGGGGCTTGAAATGGCGAAAGTTAGGCATTCTCGTTTCCCGTCACGTAAATCTTCTTCTTCGACGCTCGTGCTCACCATGCTCATCATGTTTACGTTCGTTATCCTGATTCTTCTCGCTCTCGGTATACTCTCGGTCCCCAGTAACAGCGGTGATTCCCCGAAGGCCAACGACCTGAGCTCCATCGTTCGGAAGACTACGGATAGGTATGTGAGCTTTTAATCCGTGAAGAATTTTTTATTCTTAAATTTTGGTACGTTGATCGTTGATTTGATGCTGATTTGGTAATACTGTGTTTTGGATTGTTCACAGAGGTGTGGGAGATGAGGAGAGAGCTGAACAGTGGGTGGAAGTTATCTCCTGGGAACCTAGAGCTGTGATTTATCATAATTTCTTGGTGAGTTATCCCTTTCCTTTTACTGGTTAATCGATTTTCCCTCTATATTTATTTACTAAAATTTGCAGTGCTGCATGTTCTTTCAGTTAAATAACTTGACTCTCATACTCTCGATTGTTCCCTTTTTTCCATTTTCTTTCGATCTACACATATTCGGAAGTATTTGTGCAGTTGAATATTTATATATTTTCCATTTTGATCAATTTTTATTTGCATGCGTTAGAATTTTGCAACACAAGGTATATTACTACTGACATTACTCTGTAACTGGAACTACAGTCATCTAAGATATGCACTGAAAAGGAAATGCAATATACATTATGATGGACTTTGGGCCATTTTTTCTCATGATTTAGACACGAGCCTAGTGGTAAATCACAAATCCTACTTAAGTATCTGTGAAATTGAGTGTAAGGTGGAAATGCTTAATGAGTGTATGGGGTGAGGAAAAGCAAAAAATTTACACATGGGAACACATCTATTGTGTATTGAGTAACTAAAACTCAAGTTACCTGTTTCTTTTCTAGTTTCAACAGAAAAAAAAAAAAAAAAATAATAATAATAATAATAATAATAATTCTCTTTTCTCTGGTATATATCAGACAGATTCTTATTTTTATTTGGATTCACTGAGGCTTCACTTTGATTGCTTCTGCTGATTTTTTTTTTTTTTCTTTTCTTTTCTCGATAGAGCAAAGAGGAATGTGAATACTTGATCAATCTTGCGAAACCCCATATGAAAAAGTCAACTGTTGTCGATAGTGAAACTGGCAAGAGTAAAGATAGCAGGTTTGCATTTTCTGCCCTTTTCTTATCATCATTTTCAATCTGGAGGACGAACTTGTATTTGATTTTTCTTCATTCTGTAATGCCTTTAATTTGCAGAGTGCGCACAAGCTCTGGAACATTCCTGCCAAGAGGTCGTGACAAAACTATTAGGGAAATTGAGAAAAGAATTGCCGATTTCACCTTCATTCCTGCTGGTATGTAGTTGAGTTTCCTTTTTGACATATGTCCACTAAGAAGAGTTTCATTAAACGATGTTAAAATTTCCCATTTTCAGGTTGTGTCTTTTTCTAACTTCAAATGTTGTGGCTTCCTGTCAAGTTCTGTCGAGATGATTTCTTTTTCTCTTTTCAGTTGTATGATAATATATGTCCTTGAAATGATATGCTTCATATATTTCCACTTTAATCAATTTTTTAGGTAAATTTGGTTAAATATTTTTTTTGGGTATACAGGTTGCAACATTTTGGTGTTCACTAATATTAATACTATATTTTTTCTTAAAAAAGCGATGGGTTAAATATGTTTATATTTGGTCGTATTACTCATTTACTGATACTTGAACCAATATCACGACCTGCAGAGAACGGGGAAGGGCTTCAAGTCCTCCATTATGAAGTTGGACAAAAATATGAGCCTCACTATGACTACTTCATGGATGAGTTCAACACTAAGAATGGGGGTCAACGGATTGCTACAGTCCTTATGTACCTGTAAGGGACTTGATAGATCTACCATTTCACCTTTCTCTCTGATGATATTCTTATAATAATTTCTTCTGTTTAACGATTTTTACAGCACAGATGTAGAAGAAGGGGGTGAGACTGTGTTCCCTGCCGCTAAAGGGAACATTAGTGCTGTCCCATGGTGGAATGAGTTATCTGAATGTGGAAAGAAAGGACTGTCTGTTAAACCAAAGATGGGTGATGCATTACTTTTCTGGAGCCAGAAGCCTGATGGTTCTCTAGATCCTTCAAGTTTGCATGGTGAGCAGCAACTGTTGTTCTGGTTTCATGCATCTTTTGTTAAATTTTTATTAAATCTAAGTTTGTGCTGTACTTGTTTATCTCTCTTTTGAACAAATATATTCATTGTTGGAGCTAAAACTTCTGTCTTATTCTAGGTGGTTGTCATGTAATTAAAGGAAACAAATGGTCATCAACCAAATGGATGCGTGTCTATGAATATATGGTCTGAGCCACATTTCAAAGGTGAGCTTTCTACTAGAATTGTTGGTTATCAAGCACTTTTATAATGATTAATTCTCAGGATCAGTACTTCTTATGGTTATTTAATGTGTGATTATTTAGTATCCCCATTGTCTTTTGTGTAATATAGTTGTCATGTTGTCGTCTCGAATAATGAATATCTATATGAAAAGGAAAAATTAAAATGAGTATTGTAACATCCTGAGCCCAAACATCACTAGTTCAACAACTTTTTGAATTCAAACCACTAACTTTCAAAAGTTTAAACTCAAGTTATAAATAATTAGCAACTTAAGGTTTTATATAGAGCTCAACAATCACATATCTTTTCGATATACAGCATAAAAATCACAATCTACACGACTCTAATCATTAATGTCTTCATCAAAGTTAGACATCACACAATCACAAATCACAATCGAAAGATTTTCAAAGTCCAAGATCATACCATCTAGAGTTATCGTACAGGCACGTGCTCTGATGTCATTCATAACGCCCCGTGTCCAAGTACCATTAGTTCAACAACTTTTCAAACCCAAATAACTAGCTCCCAAAGAGTTAAGATGAATTTATCGATAGTGACTTAAACTCTTATATGAGACTCAACAATCACATATTTTTCCAATGTGGATCTGAGGTTTCATAAATATGAATTTTCTTTGGAAAATTAGCTCGCCCCAATGTTGGAGGACAGTTGAAGACTATAGAAAAAGTCAAGGTGCTGGCTGATATTAGATAGTTAAGATTCTGTCTTACGTTATTTTAAACTATATGCATCAGTTGCCAAAGATATGAATTTTTTTTTACGATGCCCTTCTGCTCAAAATCTATTCTTGATGAGAAGCGTGGTTTATTTAAATATAATCCATGCACTTCAAATGTGAAAAAGCAGTTCCTCTGATAAATTAGCTTATGCTGTTGCACAGGTTTTACTTAGAGTTCTCGTGTTATCATTGTTGTACTTTTTCAAAGTCTTGGAGAGCTCCACGACCATTGTGCATCAAACGATGCATTGCTTGTTGCCTGAACGCCTATGAAAATCGATACCGTTGCTGCTGCCTGCTAACTTATTCACTTATTGTTTTCTTTTTCCTTTTCCTTTTTTTTTTTTTTTTGTGGGGTTGAGGATAGTCACATGTTACTGCAACTAATAGAATAAGAGTTGGAATTTTTACAGTCAGTTCCAAATATCAAAAAGATTTAGAACATCCTGAGTTGTTGGACTGAATACCATTCATGTGTTTAAATGTGAACTCTTAGAGATTGTATCCATAATCTACTGAATATAGCATCATATCAAGGTCCTCAAATTTTCCCAATCTTCTTAGCAATCATGATTATATTTTTGGGTAAGTTACAGCGTCTACTTCTGAGATTTGAGCCTTTATAGTTCTTTGTTATTGAGCACATTGTAGTTTGAGTTTCTGTAGTTTCCTACAAAATCATTCAGACTTCAAGCTTTTTTGGGATATTTGTACATACATCTTTTGAAAAATTAATATTTTCTATAAAATAATAATAAAAAAAAATTACATGATAGTAAATTATTTGAAAAAAAAAATTACAAGATTCGAAAGTCCAAAAATAAAATCACAGCATATAGAACTGAATTGTGCCCCAAAATTTTCCATTTTCCTCTTTTTTTTTTTTTTATTCACCTGGCACTTGCCCAATTTTTGTAAAATTATTGCATGGTTTGTGACCATAATGATAGAATTGATCTGTGTAATTTAATTGGTAAAGTTGCAATCTTGATTTGGTCATACGAATCTATTAAATGATTTTACTTAATCAATCATAACAATTTTAAAAATTTACCTTGTTTTTGCGTCACATCCATCCGGTTATTACGCCATATGCCATGATCTGTGTTGCCCGTAACACCAACCGGCCGGCCAGGCCCACCTATATAACATTCCACCTAAATGTTATCGATGACTAATTTAATTAAATTTATTTCATATTAAATTTTAAATAACAAATTTATATCTTCAATTCTGATTTTAATTCTTCTTTTTTTTTTTTTTGTTTTGTGTTTTATTTCAATTATATTTTTATTCCCATTTCGATATCCTACTAGTACTTAATCTGAACTTGGCATCATGGGTTTTCTATTCCAATTTCTTTATTTAGGTTGATGACGCTTATTGCTCAAAATAATAATAATTTTTTAATAAAAATATATATATATATATTTTATTAATCAAATACTACATGATGACATAAATTCTAACAATATCAAACACTCAAACTCTTGCAGCGTAAACATACATTTATGTAAACTAGTAATTGCATGACAGACTTATTACGGTCAAATATAATAGCAAATGATTTACTCAAAACTACAAATGCGAGATTTTATGATTAGTGCTTGGAGAAATTTAGAACTCTTTTGACCAAAAGCTGAGTCATTAAACTATCAAACTTCTGTTAGTCCCCAAACTTTATCGAAATTTTTTGAAGCTCGGGGAAACAACAATCGCAAAACAAGAAAATGATTTGGGAATTGTTGGTCTACCACTTGGAAATATAAGTAAAATCTTCTATCATAAACACAAATAGCCATCCCAACAACTTCAAATAAACACTGATCTTGGTTTTCTTGGGTTATTCATGAATACACTGCTGGTTGTGTTGCTCCACCACCTGGCCATTATTCGGATGCAGTCGTCTTTGAAAAGGATCAGGAACTACATAGAGTTTGTTTCTCTGGAAAATTAATGGTTTCCGTGGATCAAGTTCCTGATGACGTATTGCAGAATGCCTCCATGGTCAAAATAAGCCAATTCCACCTGTATTCAAATCATCCCAAGCTTTAGCAGATGAAAAATGGATCGTAGCTTTGATGGCTACAAAATGAATTGATTGCCAAAGCATAATGAAGTTACTCCCTTACCTCAGTATCAAAACGAACCGTACATGTGAATGATTTACCATTGTCTGTGGTTACTGCAATGTCTTGCCCAGGTCTTATTTCACTTACACTGTTTGGGAGATCTATTGTATAACGTTCTTGGCCGGTCAAACCAAGACTATCAGCATCTTCACCAGGCTTGAAACATAGAGGAATAATACCCATACCAACCAAATTACTACGATGAATTCGTTCGAAGCTCTTCGCGATTACAGCTTTCACACCCTGTATCCAGTTAGCTTAAGTTATCATCACTATGAGCCAAATTAATACACAAAAACCGAATGAAAAATGGTATCAGAAGGTTTACCAGGAGCATTGGTCCCTTTGCTGCCCAATCCCGGGAACTTCCACTCCCATATTCCGCACCAGCCAAAATAATGGTTTCATGGCCCTCACTTTTGTATCTCTATTTATAAAGATATACCAAGCAGATATTACAATCATAATATATATAAACTGACAGTATTTCAGTAGATAAACGACCTTCCTTTCAGAACAATATATTATTTAAGAATTGGATAGTGTTGCATTAATTTTATTATCATTGTTGAAGCATCTGCATATTAAACACATAATACATAAAAAACAGATGGATAGCTTTCATTCTGATTTTAGGTATACATATGTAATTTTTTAAATTTCCAAATGCTTTTGTAAATGTCTAATATCGTAGATAATTTGATACTTCTTTTTAAGCTTCAAAGCCAAAATTTTTATTGATTAAAAGTAAAAGATATATGATACACATCTTAAGATGTATATCCTGTCTGAAACTAAAGTAATTTTAGAAGCTCATTGCCGTTTGGTTTCAATTGTTATTAACAAAAAGAAATACACTGATGAGATATGAAGGAGTAGACAAGCATGTAGAATGATAAGGGAATAGCTTTAGCTTTAGCAAGACTTACCATTGCAACATCAAAGACAGACAATTTCTTGCCACTAGGAATGTGTATCGTTTTTGGTCCAACTTCTCCTTGCAGTAGTTTGTTAACGATACGAATATTGGCAAATGTGCCCCGAGCCATAATCTCATCATTACCACGGCGACTTCCATAAGAGTTGAAGTCTCTCCTGTCAACTCCACGCTCCATTAGGTACTTGGCTGCAGGACTGTCTTTGTGGATACTACCAGCTGGTGAGATGTGATCAGTTGTGATACTGTCACCAAAATTGAGCAAACAGTATGCATCCTTCACTCCATGTGGGCCAGGTGGAGACATGGTCATATTTTTAAAATATGGTGGCTCATGGATATAAGTTGATGACAGATCCCAGGCATAGAGAGTTCCAGAAGATACAGATAACTGATTCCACATTGGATTTCCTTTGGTGATTGCTTCATAGGTAGCTTTAAACATATCAGGCAGCACACTTGATTGTACAGCCTGAAGGGAAAGAAAAGGAGAAAAAGAAAAGGAACAATGAGAATTTCTACTTTTCTATCCAAAGGTCTATTGAAAGCAGTTATTTAGCTTACATCAGCTACTTCTTCAGTGGATGGCCAAATATCCCTGAAAAATATTTTCTTTCCATCTTTCCCTGTCCCAATGGGCTCTGTTTCAAAATCAATATCAACCTGCAAAATTGCCACTTATAAATATAACATATTCACAACTAGAGATCCAGATATATAAGGGAATTATGAAAACAGATATTTGGTAGTACATGGTAAGTTACAACATCTGAAGTAACCTACCGTGCCAGCAAGAGCATAGGCAACCACAAGTGGTGGAGAGGCAAGGTAATTAGCTCTTGTTAGGGGGTGCACACGTCCTTCAAAGTTCCTATTTCCAGACAACACAGCTGCAGCTACCATATCTATACATGCATATAAAATACAACATCGTCATCTGGAGTATTTTCATGGCAATTATCTAACTACTTTGGATGACAAAATTTACCATTTTCTGTGATAGCAGATGCTACTGATTCATCAATATCTCCTGAATTTCCAATGCATGTGGTACATCCATAACCAACTATGTGAAATCCTAGTTGATTCAAATACTTCTGCAAGCCACTGCAGAAAAATTCCAGATTCAGAATTTAAGTTTTTTAATAAAAAAAAAGAACAGAAGTGTATGCCTAAGCATGTATAAGTACTTGAATGACATAGATAATGGATACAGAAGATATACCTCTTTTGCAAGTATTTTGTAACAACTCCAGAACCTGGAGCAAGGCTCGTCTTAATCCATGGCTTGACCTGTCAATAACATTTATACACACAACATTTGTACACATAACTAAGTAAGATGAACTCTGCAGTCAGAATATTTCAATTACATAAAAGTTGTGCTATGAGAGACGGTCCTGAAGTGTCCAGCCAAAGTTTTAAATAATTACAAGCAAGGTGGAAAGGAGATTATCATCATATTATAGTATGACTAATTGTCTCATTCAAGAATATAAACTTTTATTCTTCCCCATTTGGACACTACTGGTTGGCTGATTTCCAGTTTCACAAATGTTCAATAATTTCTCATATCAAACTAAGTTACACAGATTAATCAACTCACAGCAATCAACCATTCCAATTCGAGGGAGGATCCTCAGACCCTATACTTGTCTCTTTGGCATCAAGTACTTCCTGGCAAATAAAATTCAAATAGCATGGCAGAAAACTGACAGGCAAAGAAGAGACATCTAACCTCTAGCCCTAATTCGCAAGCTTTTTTGGCAACCAGAGCAGCCCCAAGCATTACACTAGGATTTGAGGTATTAGTGCAACTAGTGATTGCTGCTATAACAACATCCCCATGCCTTAGGTATGCTGGAGTCCCATGGAAAGTAAACTCTGCAACCTTTTGCTGAGCTTCTTTTGGAATGGCAAATCCCTGTAACGTTATAAAGATGACTGGATAAGTACAATGACAAAAATACAGAGATGAAAAGATGATATTACCCTTGAAGATATTGCTTTTGTCATAGTTCAACACATTAAGGATCCAAATATATTTTCACAAGTCTCTTAGCAATTTCTTCTTCAAATTACATCAGGATGAACTTAGAAATGGAGAAGGGTACTTTAGGAATTCAGATTATGGTTGGGTCATAAGAAATCGCAATGCCACTGTCATCTGCAATCGAACAGGTCCCCCTCTCGGAATTAAATGCAATCTTTGCAAAAGCAGAAACTCTCCTGCATGGCCATAATCTTGCCCAAACTACTGATTCTTTTAAAGTCATCATATACAGGTTTTCTTAACATGATTAGATGGACAAGTAGTAATAATCAGGAACCTTGGGGCCTATGCTTTATCCTGAGAAACATTTATCAACATATATTGAGCTAAAATCCATCACGTGAAATCGATGTAATCCCCTTCTGCAATGAGGAAACAGGTCATTGTAGTTTTTCCAGTACTTTGCTCCAGTTTCTTTTTTCTTTAACACCATCACCACCATATCATATTATTAAATGTTTTAATTGGGATCTGTGTCCATTGAAACCCATATGCATATAGCATGTCTTGCCTGCATTTAGAAAAAGCTCTAACCTTGAAACCGACTCTATTGTCTAAGCAAGCATGCCAATCAGCCTTCATTTCCTTTAATGGAACTCGGTCATGTGGCCTGCAAATACAGAAGTTAATAAGGGGCAGAAAAAATATTAGGTAGCCAGTTTTAGACTTCGATAAAGAATGATGGTTACAACATAGCACCAAAACCATACCTCTTTGGCCCAGATACACAGGGTTCCACATCCTCGAGATTTAACTCCAGATAAGAAGAGTAAACTCTCTCAATTTGAGGCTGAGCAAGGAGAAAAAATTCCCAATAAGAAATGTATTGTTCAACTTGATGAATGAAAATAGAGGAACAAGAATTGAACAAGGTGAATTTACCTCATTGTAATCCACAAACATTTTATTGGCCCTTAAATAGGATTCTATCATAGAAACCTACATTTTGGCATACTCATCAGTGTACGGAAACGGCAATGTTAAAACGACTTATCTGCACAAATTTTCTCTATCCTTGGAGTTAGCAATTGAAAACTAATTTAAACCAATGACTTACTGTGTCATCACTCCTGCCAGTCAGTCTCAAATACTGCAGTGTGACATGATCCACAGGGAAGAATCCCATAGTTGCGCCATACTCAGGAGACATGTTGGCAATAGTGGCACGATCTGCTAATGATAATTCACTCATGCCTTCCCCTGCATAAAGGGATTAAAAGCCAACATCCAATATAAGATAAAGAAGCCAGTAAATTAGAAATCACTATCGAAAACAAATCTTTATAAGAATCGTGTTTGTGGTCTTATTGGTAAACTTTTACCCATAGAATTCCACAAACTTGCCAACAAACACCATGCTTCCTCAGCATCTGTGTTACTGTCAATACCAGATCGGTAGCTGTCACGCCATTTCTCAGTTTTCCTACAAGTTTAAAGCCAACAACACCAGGCAGGACCATGCTCATTGGCTGCATTCAGAAAAGGATAAGATGAACAATTAGATGTAGCTAAGAAGAAACACACAAAGACAGAATATTGGAGAGGAAATTACCAAAAATCAACCTTTTTAATAAACAAATTTTATTTAGAAAATAAGACAACAATCCTCCGAACCATTCGTTAAAGATGTTGTTCATTCAAATTAGTCGTATACTATTTATTCAATGATCTATTTTCTGGTCCAAATAATTACTAAGTGAGTTCAACAGCATACTACTTTACCTGGCCAAGCATTGCAGCTTCTGCTTCTATGCCTCCTACTCCCCAGCCAGCAACACCCAATCCATCTATCATAGTGGTATGTGAATCTGTCCCGACTACACTGTCAGGGTAAAGCATTCCTTCTGTGTTAAACACTACTCTGCCAAGGTATTCTAGATTCACCTGTAAACCACCATTAAAAGAACATAATATATGCCCAAAATATAAATGAGATGTTTCCTCTGACATGAAATACAATGCCTTAGAGGCATTTTATCTCTGTTGAGTAAGAGTGAAGATTATAAAATAAAATATTTTTTTACTTTTAAATTTTCTGGGTGGTGATTATTTTTCCTCTAATCTAATGATTGAAATCAGTGGAGACATTATGCCTCCTCTAGCAGAAAAGTTGTATTTAGAAATCTATCTTTACAACTCACTTTTGTACATGTCTATTACCTGGTGGACTATCCCAGATCCAGGAGGTACAACAAGCATATTATGGAACGCATTTGAGCCCCATTTGAGAAAAGCAAATCTTTCTTTGTTACGTTTAAATTCAAGTTCCATATTTGCCTGCACCGCATTTTCTGACCTTGCCACATCAACTTGAACTGAGTGATCAATAACAAGATCTACAGGAACCTGCATGTATCAATAATGTAAGTTAGTGATACTTCCAAACATATCAAACGGATATAAAAATTTCAAGAATAAGGGAAAAAAGTATTCAACTCACCAATGGGTTGATCTTATTAGAATCGCCACCAAGCTTATTCATGGCATCTCTCATGCAGGCGAGATCAACAACAGCAGGGACACCAGTGAAATCCTGAAAAGCAGATTAAGAGAAGGTTAACATTACATATCTGCAATCTAGAAACATCAGCATTACAAATTCACATTAAACATGTCCGAGTTAATAGATTAAAGAAGAAAACAAGCCCCGCATACCTGAAGAAGAACTCTAGCAGGCTTGAATGGAATCTCCACCTGTTTGGGAGATGTGTTTTCCCAATCAATGATCTTCTCAACATCCTTACTCTTAACTTGAAACTCATCGCAGTTACGTATTGCCGATTCGAGCAGTATCCTAATGGAATAAGGAAGCTTATCTGCAACTCATACATGAAGTTTTTTGTCCTCTTTCATTGATTAAATTTAAGTAGACAAATAGTACTAAATAAGTAGACCAATTAAAACCGAAGCACTCGTCACTGAAGAATATCCTCAAACAGCATAGCAGCAAAAAGCAAGATGGAGACGTAAAAAACTCATTCATTTCACTACCATTTCCTAGCATTCTCTCAGCAACCAAGCAAATAATCCATATAAAGAGGGGTAAAAAGGACTAACCGATTCTCGGATCGTTGAGAGCAGGCAAGCTGTAGTATCTCCCGAAATCACCACCACCACCAGGCTTCTCAAGCGTCTTTAATATCCTCTTGAAAGAGTTCTCTGTAGCTGAAAGTCAATCAAAGAAATAATGGAAGCTCGAAAACAGATTCAATACAAACTAAAAAGCACGCAAAAGTCCAAACAACAAAAAAGATCTCGATAACCAGAAATTAACACTAATCGTTGTCAATAATTACCCATTTTATGATTGAAAATCGATTCGATCGGAAAGTGCAGATTAGTTATTAGAAGTAAGATCTGAGAGAAAAACAGAGGGCGAGAGAAGTAGGTGAGGCTAATGCTTTATACCCTGTAGCCTGTACAAGATTTGGAGAGGAGGTAAGGAAATGAAACTGTCGCGTAGTTAATTTATTTCATAGTTTGTCCAAAATGGCGGAGGATTTTTTTTTTTTTTTTTTTTTTTTAAGGGGCGTAAGTATTAGCACGCCCCTTAAAAATACCAACAAAACGACGCAGTTTTTAAGGGTGGTCAATGGTCATAGGTTCAGACTTTGAAAAGTCAACCCCTTTTCTGGACTTGTTCAATGGGCTGGATTTGGGCTCCGAGCCTCTACAGTTCATCATTCGTAAAAAAAATTAAACTAATTATTTAATTTCTAATTATGAGCTCCCCTTTTATTTTTTTGGGGGATAAACCCTAATATATTAATCATAAATTCAAAAATTTTCCCTGATTGTGTTTACAAATCCAACTTAATAAGTAATTAAGTTAAAGAGATTATTTACCACTAATTGCTACAATATTATTATTATTATTAATTAATTACTTTGAATAATATCATTTAAAATGATGACATAAATTTATATTTATGATTATCAATTTGTACTAAATCGCTGTCTTGTGTTATGCAAATATTTTTATTATTATATGAAATATAATACAAATAGTGTTTTATGTGAATAAAGTATATACAAGTAAAAAAAAGTTTAATAATTATCATAACTTAATTTTTTATTTAAAAAAAATCTACTTAATAAACAAAATCTAAAAAAACAAATATGTGATCCAGAGTTTATATAATATATAATTCCAGAATTTATAATTAATTAAAGATAAATTTACACAGAAATATCATCGCACTCATTCTTTATTTTTATGTTTAAAATATTTAAATAAATATTTATTATATATTATCACATTAAAAATAAATATTTATTATTTATTATAATGACTCGGAACTTGAAATGAAGATAAAGACATAAATTAAATGCGGAAGTAAAATAACAGAGTTAGAGTTTATATTACTTACACAATAATTTAGAATACCCAATAGGATTACGGGAATAATTTTTCTAAAAGAACAAACAAAAAATTAAGAAATAAATGAAAAATAAATAATTAGTTATTCTAATACGACCTTCACTAGCATTTGAAGAGAATTAAGAGAATAAACTATTCATAATCTTCTTATTGATCGAGATCTGGATCTTAGTCATTTTGATATGAAATAATTAATGAAATGATGAGGTACATTAGCCCAATAAGAATATCACACTACTCACCGATACAAAAATAAAGGTTGGTAAAAATCATAATAAACAACTAATTGAGCTCTTAAATTAAGTAAATTTATTTATCATAAATAAAATAATTTATTTCATACTTACCATAACGATATTTTCAAAATCGAACTATAGAGGCAATAACATAAATAACATCATAATCTCATATTCAATTAGTCAGAACAACAACTTTCTTTTTTTATTTGCTTACTGGTACCTTTAGAGGTCCATAGGGATGTCTCACTATGTGTAACGACCCCGAAAATTTAAAATGAAATGTATATTAAAAATATCAAATGCGGAAGCGAAGTCAAAAATTCGATTAACATCCCTTACACTAAAACCAAAAACGTGCTTACAAAATATAAAAGATCAACTACCTAAAGGAGAAACTTAAAAGTAAAAGCTACGAATATGACTATGGAGTCTTTAGGCGTCCCCTTCGTCGTCCTCCTGCGAAACCGGCTCGGGAACAATGTCTTCCTGATCAGAAATGATTAAATAAGAAATGAGCTACACTAGCCCAGTAAAGACATCACGATATCTCACCGTCACGGAGGTAAAGGTGGGTAGAAAACACAAAAAGACCAATGGAGCATAATTTACAACAAATTCTTTTATCAATAATAAATCCTTCACCATCCACTTACCTCGGTGAAATTCATAAAACAGTGTACGAAAGCAATAACATTATCATCATCATGAAATCATATATAAACTGTATAACATAATACTTATCAAGCCTTTTGTAATTCAATCGTTACACAACATATTTTCCTCATTTACCAGCCCACTAGTATCCATAGGGGTCCCGCTACCCGTTAACCCTTAACACTTGAAATCAGATTCGAGGGCCGTCCCCATACCCCGTCCGGTATGAGCGCCAAAACTATAAACCTCATGACCTCGTCCGGTATGAGGGTGAAACGGGTCGTCCCCATACCCCGTCCGGTATGGGCGCCAAAACACATAAGATCTCCATACCCCGTCCGGTATGAGAGACCACAATCCCGGTAGGGTTCCCTATGGACCCGGTCTGTCCACCATCTCCCAGAATATCTAGTCAGGTTGACCCCATTATACAATTACCCATTTACATAATCTTTCATACTCTTTTTCCTTAGTCAGCATCATTAATCCACATACAAACAAGCAAAAAAGTAATTTATGCCGAACAGACAACATACAGCATCAATATCTCAGTCATTCAATTCATAATCAATAAAACAGTAAAATATGCACACGAAACTATAAAATGAAAACATCAAACCTCATACTGCATTTTAAACTGTAAAATAAGCCAAATAACAGTCAACCGACAAACACACTAGACTCGGGCTCCATTAGCAACCTTAAATAATTTCACACATTTGTTGATTCAAGAATACCGTTTTATCATTG